TTCCCTACTCCTTGTCACCTTCCAGATTCCTTCTCAAATCTTAGTCATTTTCTAGTCTTTTCCAGGTCCCACCTCTTCTCCAAGCCTTCTACAAACTTTATTCTCTCCTTTTCATGTGTTTGTTGAGAACTCTGACATAAATTATACTGGTATTGACTTCTAGTACAGGACACAGAGCTGTCATTTAGTAAGATCTTTAGCTGAATGACTGATGATGAAAAAAGAAAAAAAACTACAGCAGGTGTTGCTGATGCCCCACCCCATATCCCCTCAGTCCTTCCAAGTTTGCTTGCAGCTATGGCAGGTAGTTTTATCATGCCCACTGACATGGCAACAAGGGCAGATGTTCTCCATGGTTCCTCAGAAGGTCCCCAGCAGCATGGAGTCACCTCACCCATAACAGTATCCCACTCGTTAACATGCACTTTATTGGCTTTGCTCTCTTCCCTGTCTCACTCTCTTCGCCCCCACTTAATCACTTCCCAAATTAACTACGTGTATCAAAGTCCTTGTCTCAGTGTTTGGTTTCTGTGAAACCCAAATAAGACAGGAACTATCATTACTGAGTCCATATTGCACGCCAAGCACCATGTTAGGCATTCCACTTTCTTTATCTTCTTCCATATCCTCAAATACCCATTTTTTTAGTAAGAAATTGGAAAGCAAGACTAAAGCATTTAAGTGACTTGTTCAGGGTCATAAAAATATTAAGTAGCAAACCTAGCAATCCAAATGTTTCTTCAGGTGCCCATTTTGAATTAATAATTATATAGAAAAGGAATATACCATTTTGGGATAAAGTTAAAAGAAACATATTACAGAGTATAGAGTCAGGTAAAATTAGAACTCTTAGGTATCTGACAAACTAAGATATAAAAAAAGAATTTAATAAAATAGTGCCTGGAGACATTATACATTGAACACTTAGATGTCATTTAAATGCCTTATTTATAGTCCACTTTCTTTATCCTGGGAAATAAAGATGGGAGCATATGGCAGCAGAGAACTGTCCGAATGAGTCAGATTTTATAAGAAGGTATTAGAAGATGAAACTGTCAATGCCTCTATGACATTGGAGAAAGAATTAGACAAAGGAGACTTTTCTGGGTACTCAGATACTAAAAGGAAAGGCTTGGATGGATGAGAAAAATTATTGAGAAAAGTGTCTTTTCCATATTAAAATTCTCATTCAGAATTGATTTATTTTTATCTTCCCAAGTCACACAGGCCATGTACATAAGAGTGATTGAATTGTAACATGAACTGTCAAATCCATTACATGTGGGTAAGGAGATAGCTGGAAATGTTAAAAGAAGCAAAGGACAAAGAGATATGTTTTCCATATGCAAAGGCAAGCATTAGGTGACCAATAAATTTCCCAGATTTTTAGGAAACGTATTAATCAAATTAGAGAAATTAGAAACATTTAGTTAGAATTAGGGAATATTGCCCAATTTAGCTAATGTATGTTGCTTTGTGTGGTTCTCTAGTCTAGCTGATAAGTATATAAGGGTGATGAGTTTGTATGAGGTAGAGCCCACCCAGCATCTTCAGAGAAAACAGAGCCAAATCTTTAATTGCATGAAGTTTGAAAACACTTGATATTTATAGGCAGCTTTGAGATTTTCAGACAAAATGTACAGTGAATTTTTATTATGTGTTACTTCTGAAGTTGCCACTGTTCGCCTTTACAGTGTCATAAGAAATCATAAAGAACTAGCCAATGTGAATTGGGTATTATAGTTTCACTCCTTTGAATTTTTTGTAATGGTCTTCACTTATGTATAACCCAAAAGAATTACATCATAATATGTACTGCAAATTTATTAGCTCTGCTATGAAGTCATTTAGTTTTGAGCCCTAGCAAAAGTGACTTCTTGCCACCCAAGCATTTGTAGTGTGCCCTCTAATTCACATTTTAATAAATGTCATTTTCTAAGTGCATTACCTCATGTTTTGGCTACAACCCAGATGAATCCTGAGAGAATAAGAAATGTGCTTTCTGACTGATTCACCCATATTTTATTTTACTTTTCATTAAGAAATTACTCTTTTAAGAAAATCAATCATCTTTTGTGATTGAGGGGAGAGGTTAGTGTGTTGCAATGGTGCATATTCTAATTTCTCAAATCAGACTGCCTTCAGCCAGCTGTTGCTGATTTTTTTTGTCTTTTCTTGTTCCTGCAGCCTGGGTCAATGGCGACCCCAGAAGAGTGGCCTATCCTACAGACAGCCAAGGCCACTTTTGTGGCCAAAAGGGCACCCCCAATGAGTGAGTATGGCCACTTTGCTTTGTCTGATTTTACTGTCTAAGCTGGAACCTAGAAATCACTTTCGCTTTAATCATACTCATAAGAGGATTGAAGTTCATAAAAAAAGGACTTCCCTCCCCTTTTCCCCAGAGGCAGTTTGTAAGCAGGTGGGATGTTTCATACTATATGACTTAAGACAAGATGTCATTGTTCTGCAGCATTTTATTAGAACACATGAAGACTCTGCTTAGTAAAAATATAATTGTACTGGGAGAATTAGACCAGTGATTTTATCAGAAGCCATATTTTAAAATGCCTTATGAAATGGGCTATTGGAAGGCTGAGTTCTGAGGAGCTGCTAAAAAGCTAGACAGTGCAGTTGTTAGAATTGTTTTTGCCACAGTGTCTACTGATAAATTACTCCACCTTTCAAAGTGAGGGGCACACCTAGAAAGTCTTCAATGAGTGGCAGGCCAGCTTTTCAAGACAACTAGCCTGCTGCTGACAATGACCCTAAGTAGCTGAAACAAATAAGGGGGAATGTTCCATTAAATTCCTTTCTAATGTTAATTATAACAGAAGTTTTCATTTATGAAAGCAAGTTTTCTTTCTTCATCATAAAGAAAAAACAAAACAGAAACATAGATTTCATATTTTTAGAAATTTTTTTCTCCTTTCTCACTGGTCCGTTTCTTTTCTGGTAGTACCTGAGTTTTTACTCAATACCCTGGTTCTTCATAACCAATTCAGTTTCTATAAAAGTTAGTATTGAAAGGGTAAGAAACCAAGGCAGCAGCAGCGCTCTCTACCACAAAAAACAGCAAAAAGGAGTCTCAGAATATTTCTATTGTGTCCCCATGTTGCCCACACATAACTTGGAGCTTATTATTCCAAGAGATAAACAGATTTAAAAAATAGGTTTAGGAAAGGGTTAACAACACACACGGAGTAGAATTATTATGGACAATCAAGAGAAACCAGAAATTTGGGTGAGGTTGAGGGGTAAATCCTTAATCATGTCAGGTTGAGTTTATGGCGGGTAAGCTGACATCTACAAAAGGTCCTCATTGCCTATTAGAGACTAGACTAAATTCTGATCTAGGATGGTAATTCTTATCTTAACCTCAGTAACTCAAAAGCTCCTAGACATTGCCAACAAAACCTTCACATTATGAAGGACAAAGAAAGCACCAGGTGGTAAAAAGATCACACAAATCTCTAAATCTCTAGTTCTTTAAAATAGGCTATTTTTAAAAGGGCCTCTGTAACAATGTTTCCCAGACCTAAGCCAATGACCCACTTATTTCCAACAAAAACGGGATACCACAATTTCAGTACATAAAGATCATTCAAAGACAATCCTAGTGTAACACATATTTTCTTTAAAGTATTATTTACAATAACAGTATATTGGAAATTATACAGATATCTAACAATATGTGGATGGTAGTAAATTATGGCCCATGTATTTAATAAAATATAATGGAGCCATTAAAAATGTATGTTTATATTTTTAAGAATTGATTATGTTAATTTTCTTTATAGTTTTTGGATTTTGTGTCATGATTATAATTGCCTTCCTTCTCCTGAAAATAACATTTAGCTATATTTCTCTAGTATGTCTATGGTTTATTAGAAGTTATAAATTTCTAATGCACTTGGGATTTATTTTTGTGTATGGAATGAAGAATCAAACTTTCTTTTTTTCCAGTTGTAGCACCAGTTGATCTCAGAATAGTTTGTTGAAAAATATGCTCTTTTTCCTCTCTGATTTCTGATACCACAATTATCATTTGGTAAATTTATACACTTGTTTACAAACCACCTATTGTATTCCAAAATATATATATTTTAAGCCTCTCAATTGTCTTAATTCTTATATAAATGTGTATTAATTTGAAAAGATAAAAAGTTACTTTAAATGATTCTGACAGTTTTTAGTAGTAAGAGAAAATATTTATGAAAAGATCAGATTTCAATCCTTAAAACAGTGTGAAATTATCATAGAACTAGCAGAAAGAAATAAATACAATTACAGATGTCAATTTTGAATGTGATAAAGATGGGATTCCAAGTCAGTAGCCAAAGAGTAAATTATTAAATAAGTGGTATTGAGTTAACTGAAATGACATTCATGAATATAAAATAAAATTGGATATTTATCTCATACATTGTACCAAAATGAATACTGAAACATGGAAATATTGTATATAAAATATACAACCAAAAAGTAACAGAAGAAAATGCAGGGGCATGTTAATAGAATAATGGGGTAAAGAAGGTTTTTCTAAACATGACCCCAAAGCCAGAAAGTGTAACAGAAATTTTAAAGTATGACACAGAGTAATCCCACTTTAACCCACAAAGTGGTATACAAAGTTAAGATAAGTGGAAATTCAGGAAAAAGAAATTTTTTCAACATGTATACCTGACAGTGGGTCAGTAGCTTTATTATATGAACTACTTTTATAAAATCAAAAAAGAAAAACATGATCATTCAGTGTAGAAGTTGGCAAAAGTGATAAACAGGAAATAACATGATATAATGACCAATAATAACAGAAAGTGCTGATCAACCACAGTTAAAAAAGAAATGCAAATTAATAAAGAGATATTAATTTAGCTTATTAAATTGTCAAATAAATTAAAAAGATTAAAATTTCCAGGGTTGACCAGAATGAGAGGAAAAAAAGACATCTTATTTTCTACTGGTGGTAGTGAAATATGATAATACTTATCATATTTTATCAAGTATTTATGAAATTTGTATGTTCTTTTTGATTCAGCAGTTTTTCTCCTAGAACATATCTGATGGAAATTTGCATAAACATTCCTAATGTTATAGGTACTATGAAATAGTAATAATAAAATGGAAACAGCCTTAATGTCTATCATTAGGAGATTGATTAAATGAGTTACGCTAAGATCAGGAACAAGACAAGGTTGCCCACTCTCACCACTATTATTCAACATCGTTTTGGAAGTTTTAGCCACAGCAATCAGAGAAGAAAAGGAAATAAAAGGAATCCAAATCGGAAAAGAAGAAGTAAAGCTGTCACTGTTTGCAGATGACATGATACTATACATAGAGAATCCTAAAGATGCCACCAGAAAACTACTAGAGCTAATCAATGAATTTGGTAAAGTAGCAGGATACAAAATTAATGCACAGAAATCTCTGGCATTCCTATACACTAATGATGAAAAATCTGAAAGTGAAATCAAGAAAACACTCCCATTTACCATTGCAACAAAAAGAATAAAATATCTAGGAATAAACCTACCTAAGGAGACAAAAGACCTGTATGCAGAAAATTATAAGACACTGATGAAAGAAATTAAAGATGATACAAACAGATGGAGAGATATACCATGTTCTTGGATTGGAAGAATCAACATTGTGAAAATGACTCTACTACCCAAAGCAATCTATAGATTCAATGCAATCCCTATCAAACTACCACTGGCATTTTTCACAGAACTAGAACAAAAAATTTCACAATTTGTATGGAAACACAAAAGACCCCGAATAGCCAAAGCAATCTTGAGAACAAAAAATGGAGCTGGAGGAATCAGGCTGCCTGACTTCAGACTATACTACAAAGCTACAGTAATCAAGACAGTATGGTACTGGCACAAAAACAGAAAGATAGATCAATGGAATAGGATAGAAAGCCCAGAGATAAACCCATGCACATATGGTCACCTTATCTTTGATAAAGGTGGCAGGAATATACAGTGGAGAAAGGACAGCCTCTTCAATAAGTGGTGCTGGGAAAATTGGACAGGTACATGTAAAAGTATGAGATTAGATCACTCCCTAACACCATACACAAAAATAAGCTCAAAATGGATTAAAGACCTAAATGTAAGGCCAGAAACTATCAAACTCTTAGAGGAAAACATAGGCAGAACACTCTATGACATAAATCACAGCAAGATCCTTTTTGACCCACCTCCTAGAGAAATGGAAATAAAAACAAAAATAAACAAATGGGACCTAATTAAACTTCAAAGCTTTTGCACAGCAAAGGAAACCATAAACAAGATCAAAAGACAATCCTCAGAATGGGAGAAAATATTTGCAAGTGAATCAACTGACAAAGGATTAATCTCCAAAATTTATAAGCAGCTCATGCAGCTCATTAACAAAAAAACAAACAACCCAATCCAAAAATGGGCAGAAGACCTAAATAGACATTTCTCCAAAAAAGATATACAGAGTGCCAACAAACACATGAAAGAATGCTCAACATCATTAATCATTAGAGAAATGCAAATCAAAACTACAATGAGATATCATCTCACACCAGTCAGAGTGGCCATCATCAAAAAATCTAGAAACAATAAATGCTGGAGAGGTGTGGAGAAAAGGGAACACTCTTGCACTGCTGGTGGGAATGTGAATTGGTACAGCCACTATGGAGAACAGTATGGAGGTTCCTTAAAAAACTACAAATGGAACTACCATATGACCCAGCAATCCCACTACTGGGGATATACCCTGAGAAAACCATAATTCAAAAAGAGTCATGTACCAAAATGTTCACTGCAGCTCTATTTACAATAGCACGGAGATGGAAACAACCTAAGTGTCCACCGTCGGATAAATGGATAAAGAAGATGTGGCACGTATATACAATGGAATATTACTCAGCCATAAGAAGAAATGAAATTGAGCTATTTGTAATGAGGTGGATAGACCTAGAGTCTGTCATACAGTGTGAAGTAAGTCAGAAGGAGAAAGACAAATACCGTATGCTAACACATATATATGGAATTTAAGAAAAAAAATGTCATGAAGAACCTAGGGGTAAGACAGGAATAAAGACACAGACCTACTAGATAATGGACTTGAGGATATGGGGAGGGGGAAGGTTAAGCTGTGACAAAGCAAGAGAGAGGCGTGGACATATATACACCACCAAATGTAAGGTAGATAGCTAGTGGGAAGCAGCTGCATAGTACAGGGAGATCAGCTCGGTGCTTTGTGACCGCCTGGAGGGGTGGGATAGGGAGG